AGGTGCGCGAGAGTTATTCTCCACTGTTTTCATCTTCTTGCTATTTCAGCTTCGTCATTATCATCTAGTTTTTATTATATAAGGACACCCATAACTTTCCTAAGAATTATATTATTTTTAACCAGCCAGCTAGACAGAAAAGAGGTCATATGATTTCCTGTTCATAGCTCTTTGCGAATAGACCCAGATTCCTGCAATGAATGAAGCCACATTACATAATGAGCACTGAGATACCTCTGTTTCACAGTCTCTGTGAGATTTTCATCAGATCCGACGAGTTCAATACAGGGTATCTATCTGCCTACTATAAATCCTCCTGAGGCTTATGTAATCCTAAATATACTGCGTGATTCCATATAACTTACCCAATAAATCTTGACCTTATCAGGCATGTATTATGCTTCCCCCAGGGGAATGTTCTTGGGGGTAGTATGCATGAGCGTATACCAAGACCTCAACAACCTCCAAGTTTGTCCTTTTTCCTTAAGCTGTATTCGTCTTTCCTGATATCCTTTCACAGGGACCCGTGCTATCTCTGATGTACAACAATCAAAGGCTCAATAAGATATCAAATAATTTTTCTTCTAACCAGTATCCTCACATCCAGCCTATAGTTTCCGAGAAAGAATGCAATAGACACAAAAGTTGAGTGACGGTATTGCATCCAGCATTTGCTACCTTGATATATGGCATTTGGCATTCTACTTACCTATACCTTGCCCACGTTTGTGGTACTTGCAATGTCCTATAACAAACACTTCCGGTAGAGACATTATTTGGGAATCTGTGTGATTGGGGCCTGAAATTGGCCCGAGAGGAAAAAATAGCACAACTCTATAAATGTTATTTATGAATAAGAGGCTTTGCACCATCCTATACCTCTGAACATGACGTCCATCCCACAAACACGACTTATGGATAGATTATATGCTTCTCTACCATGTCAATTCTGTTCACCATTCACAGAACTGACACTGATTACAACACTAACGCTACTACATGATAAACTATATCACCAAAGACTGAAAGTAGACCCGTTTATTATTATTCTTTTGAGGGTAGGAGGTTAGGGTGAACAAACACCTACTTCAGCAACCCATCGGTATTCCCGTATAGTCTTATCTTGGTGGGGGGAGGCGGCATCTCATCTCTCTCTATCTCAAGTCATGAGCCTTCTGGTTGTATCCAGGTCTCGCAGAGTACAGTTCAACTTGCGCCCTCCGCGAGTTAACCAGAAGGTCCCGCTGGCTGGACCATGTGAATTTAAGTAAATACTTAATAAGATATTTTAATCACCTTAGAAGCATACATTTTACAAACACAGCCTTCATTCTAAACTCATAATGGCAGCGTATAGCCATATACGTACAAGCAATTAATTTAAAAACAGTGTGTATAGCAATTTTGTTAACTTTGGCACATATAGGGGAATGGTTCTGGTTGTCCACACATGAATAAAAACTTGGTTGAATGAAATTCTCAGGTAGATCTTCTCCATTCTTTAACACTCTACTGTTTGTTATCTCTCCCTGGCCTTCCTGTTTGCCCTCTGGAGAGTTTGAAGGCCAGCCTGAGTTTTTTGTTGCTCTCAAAGTTAGCTAGTTATATCCTAATTCCTTCCCTGTGGTGTTAGTAAGATTGTTTATTTGTTCTTTATCTTCATATTCAAAACACCCTGTACATAATGACTGAATGTTGTGTGATATTGTTTCATTAACTTTCCTGAAAACATGTTTATGCCCTTTTCAAACTTTACACTCTTCTGTTTCTTTAGCTCAAGAAAGTTTTCTTATTATTAATCTGGTTCCTCTCCAATCCGCTAGGTTAGCCTTTCCCATTTTAGGAAAGATATGATGAGCCCGCATATCTTTCTTCTCTCAGTATCTATTCATCTCTTGTATGTTTCTTCTTTTTACTGGAAAAGCTACTGAAGTGTGTCAATCTTACCAGTGTTAAATTTTATCAAAATCTGCTTGTTCTTTATAACCCTTTAGTACAGGTTTTAAATCCTGCATTAGAAATTTAGTTTCTTACCAATCCCTTTTTTTTTTTTTTAAA